GGAGCCAGGGCCTGCCTGGGCAGCTGAGTGCGAGGCCTGGCTGTGCCGCCTTGGGCTTGACACTGCAGCTGCCGGGTGCTCAGCTTCCCTGTGGGTGAGATGCGGCGTGGTGTGGCGCGCTCGAAGGCGGCTGTGGTTCTCACCGGGCCTCGTTTAACGCCCAGGGGTTTCTGGCAACATCTGGAGACATTTTCTTTGTCCCAGTGGGAAGGGCCGAGACTGGGGTGCTGCCGAACGTCTCCCGTGCCCAGGGGCCTCCACCACAAAGGCTGACCTAGGCCAGGTGCCAGCCGGCTGAGGCGAGAGGCCTCGCACTGAGGCCGGGAACACCTCCTGGGGTGCAGGGGTGCTCGCCAGCCACAGCTGGGGTGGCCCTCCGTGCTGGAATCTCGACACGTAGAGAGCAGGGAAAAGGATCAAATACAGACTTTCTCGGAGCCAGGACTCCCCAGCTTAGGGGACGCCCCCCCAGAACAGCCAGGGAGGGCACAGCAAAGCAGGGATACAACGTGGACAGCATGTTGGGTTCTGCTAGGGATGGGGCCCTTGAGGAGAAATTTGATAAAAGGCCGCAACCCACCCCAGCCAGCACCCCACTCACCGTCAAGGCAGGGCGGCCTGCAGAGTGAAGGGGGGGACACAGGCGAGGGCGCTGACGGGGTGTGGCGGGGGGGCCGGCTGGGCTGCCCGGTGGAGCTGCTGGAGGACTCATCCTCACAGGCGACGCACTGAGCACCAGTGGCCCTCCAGGTCTCAAAGGGAAGAAAATGAAACTGCAGCTGGACAGCTCAGCTCAGGGGAGCAGACAAGGTGATCCGCAAGGGCAGCCCAGGGCTCCCTCGAAGTGACCCCACCCCCCGCGGCTGTCTCCAGAGCTCTGGGGACACCTTTGTGCCTCAGAGGGGAGTGGGGAGAGGGGCCCGTTGGGCCGCACGCTCATCTGTTCACTCCGCCAGGTGTCCGAGCCTGGCTCAGAACAGCGCAGACAAGGGCCCTGTCTGGTGTGAACACCTGTGTGCGGGGGTGGGGGCGCCCCAGAACAAAAGACAAAGACATATGTCGTGGCATGGATCGGACTGATGGCGAGAAGCGACCCGGGGGCCATCGTGAAACAGCCCCAGAGAGAGAGGAGCTGAGGCAGGGCTGGAAGGCAGCGCAGAAGGCACCCCGAGGGGGGAGTTTCCAGCAGGGGGTGGGGAGGGCCAGCTGCCTTGGAGGGCAGAAGTGTGACCCAGGGGCAGGCCAGAGGCACCGAGCTCCAGCAGCCTGGCGGGTTCTCGCCCAGATCAGTGCGGTTCTCTTCAAGCCAGGGGGTGGCCGTGGCGTTCTGGGGGAGCCCTGTGGCAGGTGTGTGATGGAAGGAGTGGAAGGAGTCTTTCAGGTGCCACATGTGGAAAAGTGAGGGAGTCCAAAAGAAAGACAGAAGGGGTTTTCCTAAGAGGGTGGCAGGAAGTGGGGGAGCAGGTAGATTCAGGACCGCACTGGTTCTGGGTTTGGGGAGGGAGGTTAAGGAAGTCCCCAGGACACTGCACCCAGCAGTCTCCCGGAGCTTCAGGACCCCGGGGTGCTGGGCGTCTGTGCCCTCTGCCTGGGCCCGCTGCCTCAGGGCCTTCAGTAGTTGCCAGGTGAAGGGAGGGTCCTCCTCAGCCTCCTCAGCTGAGGCCACAGCCAGCTGGTGGGATTCTGGTGTCTAGAACTTGGAATAAATAGCAGCAGACTTGGGGGACACGGATGGGGAGCCTGGGGGACACTGCCCTCCCCGCTGACCCTTGCCACCTCCCGTCACTCAGCCTGAGAGGCCAACGAGCTTGCCTGATTCCCACCCCCCTTCTGATACATAGTCACTGCAGAAATAGAGGTGGGGGTTAGGAGCCTGGGGGAGGGACGGCCTGGTCGGTGCCAGCAGGTGGTGAGGGCAGCTCAGCTAGCGTGCAGGGTTCTGCCGCAGAATCACCCCCGTTCAAGCTGGTGCAGGATGGCGTCAGCGTGTGTTTCTCCACCCAAGGCCCAGGAATGCAATGGCGAAGCCTGGGCTTGGGAATTAGGAAATCTGGATGAGGACCCAGAGGCCTCCACTTGTCACCAGTGACCTCTGACCTTCTGTTTCCTCCCCCTGCATCTGTGGTAATGAGGCAACTCGCTCTGGCTGTGGAATGTAAACGAGCAAATGCAGCTGAACAGTGAGGCGACACCCCAGACAGACCCCAGGGGAACGAAATGCTACCCCTCGCCTCTGCCAGCCGGGAGGCAATGTCTGCACCAGAATCTGGGTTTTAATCCAGCTCCATCACTCCTTGGCTGGGGACAGTTATTCCAAATACCAAGCCTCAGTTTGACCCTCTGTAAAGTGGGGTTAACAGTGTGACACTTGGTGATGATTAATGATGGCGATATTTATCAAGGGCTCATGGGCCAGTTAACAGTGGTTTTGGTAAAGGTGGAGAGAGGCGCCCAAGTGGAGCAAAATGTCTGCTCCCACACCTGCAGGCTGGGAACCTGGTGAAGCCAGGGTGTCTCCAAGGAGATGCTGCTCCCCAAGGGACTCCGTGGGCCCCAGAGACAGAGCTGACTGGTCTCTGGTATCTAAGGAGGGGCAGGGTGCGGTGGGGGCTGGGGGCTGCATCCGGGAGCCAAGCTGTGGGTCAGCTCTACTGCTGGGCTGTTCTGTGAAAGCAGCTCTTTGAGGAGATTATCAGCTGGGAGCGAATCTGTGGGCTGTTGCGCTAAATTGCTTCTTCAGCAGGCCCTGCCCCCCTGATAGCGTTGTGGTAACATAGACACAGGACACAGCGGTCTGCCAGCCACGCTGTCCTCTAAAGACCTCCTGGAAGGCCACTTTCTGCTGGGAACATGGGGGAGTGCCAGTCCGGGACGCCCTGTCATCTGCAGACTATGGAGTATTGGTGGGGGCTGCTGAGCGGGACACCTTGACCCTCGCCTGGAACACAGGGGTCTGGGGAGGCGAACAGTGTGTACAGGGGAGGGAGTGGTGACAGCCCTGGCCTTGAGGGCCAAGACCTCCCAGATCAAGCCCGTCCACGCCCACCATTGAGAGAGGGGCGGGGTGAGGGGACAGTGCATTTAGGTCATCGCGGGGGTCTGGTGGTGTCCGGGGGCTCCCTGGGGTGCAGTGATAGCTGAGACTGTGAGATCCGGGGTAGCTGGAGGCTGTACAGGCAGAACGTTCCGAGCGAGTGTGCTTCCGGGCTCAGGTGCCTCTCGGGGGCCAGCGGTGGCGTGTGACCCCTGGAACCACTCAACTTCCCTGAGAGCCAGGACTGGCTCCCTGGGGCGGCTCTTCAGGCAGTGACCCAAGCTGCTGTTTGGGGTCTTTTGGATCTGGTCTTGCGTAGGGACAGAGTAGCAGCGTCCCCCTGGGGCTGGGGCTGGGGTCCTGATGGCGAGTTGTCGTCACAGGACATGGACTGAAGGCACCCGAGAACAGTGTGCCGTGCGGGTCTCACCGAGTCGGTCAGGCCACCAGCTGCCTGGCCAGGGAGGGAGGGTGTGCCTGTGGAGAGCCCGGGAAATGTCTCCAGTGGGTCTTGACCAGATGCCCCCCCACCCCCGGCCTCTCATTCCTCAGCATCATCCCGGGCCTGTGTGAGCACAGCACCTTGACGCATTCGAGGCCCAGCACCCCGGGGTGCAGACACTGTGGTTACTTGTATCGCACAGGGGCCCAGGGGCAGGGGTGGCAGAGAGCCGAGATGATGGTTGCCCCAAACCACGCTGGAAGGAGTGAAGCTGAGAATTGAACCCAGGCAGCTGGCCACAGCATCAAAGCCATTCCAAGCTGGTGGAAGGGAGGATTTCAGGGTGCACAGGAGTGGCTGGAGTGGGGGGTCAAGGCAGAGCGACCTCAGGAGGGGAAGGGAGAAGGCACCCCAGGCTCAAAGCAAAGCTGATGATGTCGGACAAATAGTAACACTGCTGTATGGGAGGAACGAGGATTCATTCTCAGAATTCAAAATTGAGGAAAATATCGGGGGGAGGGGCGCCCAGTCAGCTTTCTTCACCCCCTGAGGAAAATATCAGGGGGGAGGGGGGCCCAGTCAGCTTTCTTCACCCCCTGAGGAAAATATCAG